GCCCTTCTCCCGGAGAGGAGATAACACCGCTTCGACACATATGCTAAAGGTGCGGGGGGCGAGTGACAGACCGAACGGCAGTACTAGGTCGTGCCTTCGAATGCAAACCTCGCTACATGAAAGTAAGCGTCTGTTAAATCTATGGTTGTAAACCAATCCCCTGGACCGACCGCAGTCAGAAGTTGTCTGAGTGTTAACATCCTGAACTTGTAAGTACGTAGATATCTGTTTAACACTCTCAAGCCCAAAATAGGACGAAGTCCGCCTCCTTTCTTCGGAACAACGAAATAACGGCTGTACCAACCTTTGTTTGCCACTGAAGCGGGGACCACTCGTTTCGCTCTCTTGTGTAAGAGACTGTGTATTTCCTCCCTCAGTACCGCTGTGCCCTCATCCGCTACAACGGTGTTTATCACCGAGATGAAACGAGGAGGCCTGAAACTAAACTGCAAACGGTAAGCCATGGCAATAGTACGCTCTACCCATGGAGAGAGTGCGCATGCACGCCATTGAGGGAGCTGTGCGACCAGTCGGCTGACTTGGAGCACTGTAGGTGCAAGGCGGTCGCCCTCTCATGTGCCGGCAGGGAACGGCGTCCTTTGACTGCACTTTTTAATCCCCCCACACCGTGGTTGTGGGACGGAGCCAGACAAGCAGCCAGGGACGGCTCCATAGGCGGTGGATTAACCAGGCCAGCTTGTTCAGCGCCATCCAAGTCCAAATACTGTCCATAGCCGGGCACGGTGACGCAGGTGGACAGTGGTTTGCTCCATGCCGAGGTCAGTTTCGAGACAAAGTCTGGGTACATGGGCAGGCTGTTTTTCACCATCGCTGGCTCAGGAGGAAGAAAGTATCCCGCGAACCGCGATGGCTTTTGAGTCAGCGGAGGGGACAGCCACTCCACCTCCAGTTTCTCCACTGCTTTGTGAAACAGGGAAAAGAAGGAATTATCGTCGCGGCTAGCTGGCGCAGTAGCAGCGTCAACCTGACCTGACGACAAACCCTCGTCCTCCGATAAACCATGAATNCCTACTTGCTTTGCAGAGCATAAAGCGAGAAGCAAAGCAGTCTTGTATGAAATAAATTTCATATCAACAGACTCAATAGGTTCAAATGGAGGACCACAAAAGGCCTCAAGCACCAATAACAGATCCCATGAAGGGACGCTGGATCTAACCGTGGGCCTCAGCCGGCAGACCCCTTTTAAGAAGCGCATGGCAAGAGGATGAGCGCCTGGTGTCATACCATCAAAACCAACGTGGCAGGCAGATATAGCTGCCAAATAAACTTTTATTGTGGAGAAGGAGCTCTTGAAGAAATGTCAAAATGTCCACAATAGAGCACTGAAATGAGAGAACATTATGGTTCTGGCACCACTGCTCAAATGCCCGCCATTTATATGCATACAGGCCTCTAGTGGATGAGGCCCGTGCACTCTAAATTGTTGCCACCACTTCAGGGGGCAGGCCCTTTGCTAATAAACTGGACCTTTCAACAGGTAGGCATGCAGCCACCACAGTTCTGGGCGCGGGTGAATCACCTGTCCTCTTGCTTGAGAGAGGAGATTCCTGCGGACAGGGAGCTGCCAGGGCCTCGCTGCCAGCAGACTGATTATCTCTGCGTACCATGACTTTGCTGGCCACCGAGGGGCCACCAGGATCATGGACAGGCCCTGCTGACGCACCCTCTCCAGAGCAGGCAGTATCAATTCCACTGGGGGAAATGCATACAGAAGCATGTTGGGCCATGGGTGAGCTAGTGGATCCATGCCCAGTGGTGCGCCCTGGTCTGTTGTGGAAAAGAATAGAAAAAGAGGGCAGTGTGCATTCGCTTTGGATGCAAAAAGATCCACTTGTGCCATGCCAAACCGTTCCCATATCTGAGCCACCACCTGTGGGTGTAACCTCCATTCTCTCACCATAGGTCCCCCTCTGGAGAGAAGGTCTGCAACCTAGTTCAAGTGACCGGGAGCATGGGTGACTCTGACAGACAGGAAATGAACCCTGCACCACTGCAACAGAGAGTGAGACAGTTTTAACAGGGGGAGTGAACGGGTTCCTCCTTGCCTGTTTATGTAAGAAACCACCGTTGTGTTGTCTGTTCTGATCAGAACATGCTGGCCCGTCAGATCTCGACAAAAATGCTGCAGAGCTAAGAAAACTGCTAACAGTTCCAGGTGGTTGATGTGAAGTCTGCACTGAGCTGACGACCAAACCCCTCTCACCATCGCATCGTCGCACAGAGCCCCCCAACCCTTCAGAGAGGCATCTGTGGACACCACCTTGCGAAAAGACACCCTGCCTATCGGAGAGCCCTGACACAGCAGGCCGGGCTCCCTCCATGGGCAGAGAGCGAGCAAGCAGGACGGTGTTATCGTCAGCCTCCTCTGGAGGTGACGTGACGGACACAACCAGTGAGAGCGGGTTCAGCGCTGAAACGCTCGCATCTTCAACACCCCGAGCGGCACAACGGCGATCATAGACGCCATCATGCCAGTCAGCTGTAAAATCGTCTGAAGACACAGTCTGTGTCCCGTGTAAAACGCAGCCACCCTGTGCTCTGACAGACGTGCTCGGCTGGTAACGGAGCATATTTCCAGTCCCAGAAAAGAAAACTGCTGGCTCGGGGTTAGTGAGCTTTTCTGAAAATTAACCCCAGTGTTTGAATGTGTGACAGAACTAGCGACAGCTATGTCTCTGCCTGCTCTCTGGAGCTGGCTACCAGAGCCCAGTCGTCCAGGTACACTAAGATGCGAACGCCCTTCTCCCGGAGAGGAGATAACACCGCTTCGACACATATGCTAAAGGTGCGGGGGGCGAGTGACAGACCGAACGGCAGTACTAGGTCGTGCCTTCGAATGCAAACCTCGCTACATGAAAGTAAGCGTCTGTTAAATCTATGGTTGTAAACCAATCCCCTGGACCGACCGCAGTCAGAAGTTGTCTGAG